CTAATTTGAGAACCTAATAGACAGATTCCTAGATACATAATTTACCAAAGCTGAATCAAGAAGATACAAAAACTCTCCTACAACTCAACATCAATGAAATTAAAGATGTAATTAAAAACCTACAGACAAAAAAAAAAAAAATCCCAGCCCCTAACAGATTCACTGCTGATCTCTGTAAGACATTTAGAGAAGACATAGACATAATACCCCTACTTCTCAAACTCTTTTATGAAACTGAAAGGAAAGTAATACTCCCAAATTTATTCCTGGAAGCAAGCATTATTCTGATACCAAAACCGGAGAAGGATCCAACCATAAAAGAGAACTATAGGCCAATCTCCCTCATGAACATAAGATACAAAAATCCTCAGATAATGACAAACAGAATGCAGAACACAGCACATCATCAAAAAGATTATACACCATGATCAAGCAAGATTCATCCCAGGGATGCAGGGATGGTTCAACATACACAAATCGATAAATGTAATACACCATATTAACAGAGCTGAGGACAAAAACCATATGATCATCTAAACAGATGCAGAAAAAGCTTTTGACAAAGTCCAATAACCACTCAAGATAAAACCCTACAGAATATTGTAATAAAAAATTGAAATAGATGGTCTTTATCTCAATGTGATAAACCAACAACCATCATTATACTAAATGGACAAAAACTGAAAGTTTTCCCTGTAAAATCAGGAATAAGACAAGGGTGTCCATGGGCACCACTTTATTCAATATAGTTCCAGAAACATTAGCCAGAGCAATTAGACAAGCACAAGAGAAATAAACGAATAAGGATAGGAAAGGAAGAAGTTTAACTATCATTATTTGCAGATGACATGTTACTTTGCATAGAAGACCCCAAAAATTCCACCAAACGACTTCTAGATTTAATAACCAAATTCAGTAGCATAGCTGGATACAAAGTCAACACTTAGAAATCAGTCTTTCCTGTGTTGAGGACCACAACTAGCACATTCACATAGTATCTATCCTAGGCTCTGGGCTGGTTTTGGAATGTGAAAATCCTGCTTCCTCTAGGTCAATGAGATTAGCACCCTGTGTGGAGATGGATCTTTGCTTGTTTCCTTTACAATGTTAAATTTGCATTTAACACTGAGGAAACAACCTCTTCCACAATAGCATCCAAAAAATGAAATACCTAGAAATCAATCTAAAGAAGGAAGTAAAAAGATCTTAACTTGAAAGCTACCAGTACTCTGAAAAAGGAAGGGTATTAGAAAAGGGAAAAATAGCCCTTGTCCTTGGGTAGGAAGAACCAATAGAGCAAAAATGGCCATCCTCCCAAAATTGCTATACAGATTTAAGGCATTCCCAATCAAAATTCCAAAAGCATATCTCACAGAATTAAGAGGAAAAAAATCCTAAAATTGATTTAGAGCCAAAAGAGATCTAGAATAGCAAGAGCGATTCTGGGTAATGAAGGCAAGGCAGGGGGCATGACTTGAAATTATACTGCGAAGCCACTGTGATAAAAACAACATGGTTCAACACACACACACACACACACACACACACACACACACACACACACACAGCATGGTACTGGCAAAAAAAAAAAAAAAAAAAAGAGAGAAAGAGAAAGGAAAAAAGAAACAGACCTGAGGATCCGTGACAAAGACTAAAAGATGCAGAAACAACTCCAGACATACTGGGCCACTTTATCTTTGACAAAGGTGTCAAACACCTTCCCTGGGAGAAAAATAATGGGAGAAAAATAATAAATAATGCTGGAAAAATGGGCTTTCTACATGCCAAAGATTAAAATGACACTTACATCTTTCACCATGCACTAACCTAATACAGAAATGTATCAAAGATCTAAATATTCAAACAGAAATACTAAATCTGATAGGACACACAGAATAGACAGAATTCTTGAAGACATCTGTGTAGGCAAAGACTTTACAAACAAAACCCCAGTCACATGGGAACTGTCACAAAGAATCAACAACTGGGATCTCATTAAAAAAAAAAAAAAAAAAAAAACTTTTGCAAAGAAACAGAAACCACCAACAGAGTGAAGAGACAATCCACAGTATCTATGCCAGCTGTTCCTTAGATAAATGATTAATATCTAGAATAAAATTCAAAATAAATCACACCCCACCAAAATTTAAAGACCCAATCAAAAAATGGGTATCTGGGGGAAAAAGGAACACGGCTCCATTGTTGGTGAGAGTGTAGACTGGTGCAGACACTATGGAAATCACTATGGAGATTTCTCAGAAAACTAGGATTGGAAGTTCCATTCAATCCAGCTATTCCCCTCCTGGGCATTTTCCCAGAAAAAGTGAAAAGGTCACGTCACAGTGATATATGTGCACCCATGTTCATAGCAGCACAATCTATAATAGCTAAATCTTGGAAACAATCAAAATGCCCATCAACCACAGAGTGGATGAAAAAGAAGTGGTATTTTTAAACAATGGAATATTAGTCAACTATAAAAAAGGATGGTTTTGAGGTCATCATATTGAAATGGAGGCAACTTGTGACTATCCTCATAAATGAAATAAGAATCATTATTTATAAATATCACATTGTGTCTCTAGTGTAAAAAATAGTAAGAACTGTAGGAGTAATAATACCCAAAATGTGCACTTGCTGTTATAAAAGAGAGAGGAAAAGAAAGTGCTCTAAAGGATATCACTGCATGTATGTTTAAGTGTGTAAGGTAGATAACCATATTACTAAGTTTTTGTTGGATCACTGAGCAGAACTGTTTGCAGTCTCACTGTTTGAATGTCCACTTTGTATGCTCTAATTTTGTAACTTGAACAACTATTTCTAAGATGACAGTATGTAATTTATCAACTAGTGATTTCTTAGTGGCTTTTTTTTTTTTTTTGGAATTCTGTACTGCTTTTTTCTGTTTTGCTTTTTTTTTTTCTCTTTAAATAAAATTTTTAAGATTGAACAGAAAAAACAAATGAGTATCTGTAATGAACAGATACTTCCCAGAGAAAGTAGTAGAAAGGACAATATAAAAAAAAGTTCATCATTGTCACTAGTCATTCAAGAAATGCAAATTAAGACAATACTGATATTTCATCTCCAGAAAGAATGGCTATTATCAAGAAATCAACCAATAACAAATTTTTCAGGGACTCTGGGGGAAAAAGAACCCTTTTCCACTGTTGGTGGCAGTTAGACTGGTGCAACCACTGCAGAAATCAGAGTGGAGATTCTACAAAAAACCAGGGGCACTGCCCAGGGATTTAGCTCAGTGGCATGAGCACCTGCCTGGCAAGCACAAGGTTGCGAGTTCAATTCCCAACACCAAAAAAAAAAAAAAAAAAAAAAAAAAAAAAAAACAGGGCTACAGGTTCCATTTGACCCAGCTTTTACTCTTCTTAGTATCCTCCCAAGAGAAATGAAAACACAATCGTCCGGTGATACACACATACCCATGTTTATAGCATGGACAGTTTGTCACAGCTGTTGGAAAGAGCCCAAATGACTATCATTTGGTGAATGGCTAAAGAAGTGGTTTTTCTATACAGTAAAGTATTACTGTGCCATAAAGAAGGATAAACATGAGATTTTTCTAGTTAAATAGATGCACCTTGAGACCATACTCAAGTGAAATAAACTGGACACACGTGTAAATACTGCATTGTTTTTCTGGTATAAGAAATCAAAAGTATAAATAAGGACCAAAATTTACTATAGATATTGTGAAATACAAAGAAAATGTTCAAATGGGAAGGGAACTCAGAAGGAAAAAAATGAGAAAAGAAGGAAAAATGGAAACAAAGCTTTTGAAAGTAAGAAAATGAAGGGGGTTGAAGGAACAGTAGCAGAGTAGGAAAAAAATAGAAGAATCAAGTTGTGTCATGCACAGGTACAAATTCCCTATGATGAATGTGATCATTATATATACCCAGAAATGTACTAATAAAGGAACTTTAAAAAAAAAAAGGATTTACTCCAGGCCTACTTGACTTGTAGATAGCTATTTTTTTCCACATACATGAATTGTATCAAATGTCCTTTTTTTTTTTTTTTTTTGTCTTTTTCATTTTTATCGGTACCGGGGATCGAACTCATGACCGCCTGCTTGCAAGGCAGGTGCTTATGCCACTGAGCTAAATCCACAGCCCCCAAAATGTCCTCTTCTTATAAGAACATCAGTCCAGGCCCACTTTACTGATTTCATTTTAACCTAATTATTAACTTAAAAACCATTATCTCCAAATATGGTCACATTCTGTACACAAGGGATTAGGATCTCAAATTAAGTCTCCCCATGAACTTTTGGGAAGATGTAATTAGCCTAAAATACTATCTTTAAAATAATCCTTTCCTAGGGCTGGGGATATAGCTCAATGGCACAAATTCCTGACTGGCAAGCGCAAGGTCCTGAGTTAGACTTCCAGTACCAAAAACAAAACAAAACAAATCCCTGCTTGACCTGTTATCTATAACTGAATTATCCTAACCAAAATGGCTAGATTTATTTATTCATTTATTTATTTATTTTAGTTGTTGGGTTTTTTTTTTTTTTTAAAACAGGGTCTCACTAGTTCAGGCTGGCCTTGAACTGCTTGCGTAGCCCAGACTAGCCTGAACTCATGGAAATCTTCCTGCCTCAGCCTCTAGATCCTACCTCCACAGATCTACTAACTGGTATAGAAAACCTATCAGGCACAGGGAAGAACTCTGTAGTGGATACTGCGATATCCTACACCGAAACTGAAGCATGTATCCTATCTACCAGAGTGCTAGCTGCTGACAGGTCACAGCAAATTCCCATTCTACAAACTGCCAGCACTGCCACCTCCTCCAAGGTAGTGCTCCTCTGTGGCAGTGACTTCAATGACACAAAAGTCCGTGAACACATATAGGTGTCACCTCAGTTAGGGACATCTCTGAAGGCTACTTTAGCTCCAAGGCAACATGAATAGGCTGAGGCCTCTGAACCAAATGCATCACAATCGCCTCTCCCCTATCCAATCCTGCTTTCTCTCCTGCCCTCACAGAGGCTGATCCTGAGACCACATCCAATAAAGACCCTGTTCACAAATTCATCTTACAGTCTGCTTTTCAAGAAGCCTGACCTGGAGTACTTTCTATGCCTAACACTATAACAAACTTAACAACAAGAGGAAAAATGAACCAGGTACTGGGTTAATTTCCTCCTTCCCATCCTTGCTTTTCAACAATGCTGCTACTCCACCCACCCCTGCTGTCCTTCCATCTCCTTCTGCAGAAAGAAACCTGATAGACACCTGCTCCCCTACACAGTAGGGGAGCCTCAGCCCCAGCTCCTTGAGGTCTTGCAGTTACTCTTTTGAAGTCTGATCCTTTCGTTACTGGAGGACAGGAGAACCAAAATCGTAGAGGATTCCACCTAGAAGAAAAAGTTGCCAGCTGTCTGGTTGCTCCCCAACTGGCTCCCCCACACTGCGAGTCTGATCAAGGAAGCAGGAAGTGCTGCTCCTGAGGACAGAGACATGGGCCCAGCTGGCCAGGTCATCCTGCTGCTGTTCCTGCTGGGTGAGTCATAAGAGCTAGGAGAAGTTTCAGACTCAAAAAGCCATCATATCGATTTTATAGAATAATATTTTATCCATGGAAGAGTTACTAATAACATGGAAAGTTACTAATAACATGACCTGGGGAAAGTCCTCACAATATTACACTTAACAGGCAAGCATTCGAGCCACTGAGCTAAAGCCCCAGCTCCTGGCCAGCACTGTTCTAATGCTCTTGGATGAATATAACAATAAACAAAGCTAAGATTCTTCTCTTCATTGGACTTAGAATCAATGTTCATATAAATATGTAAGCTATAAAGCATGTCAGAAGGCAATAAATACTATGCAAGGAAAAAGGAATCTAAAGTTCAAGAACTTAACAGGGTGTGACAGTGCATGCCTATAATTCTACCATTCCAGAGGCTGAGGCAGGAGGGTTATCCAGACTTCAAGGCCAATGTTAGCTACATAGTGAGGTCCTATCTCAAAAACCAACCAAACAAAATAAGTTCAGGGGCAAAAGATACACTATAATTTTAAATAAGGTGGTCAAAGACAGCCTCACTAAGCAGTCATTTGAGCAAAGACTTAGAAGAGATGGGGGACATAACTCAATGCCACAGTACTTACCTACTGTATGCAAAGCCCTGGGTTCAAATCCCCAATATCATAAATAAATGGATAGACAGATGGAAAGGAGTAAGCTAGCTAAGAGGACCCACAAAATCTACATTTCAAACAGAGGGAACTGGAAGTGTCTCTGACAGAAGTCTGTTCATTTATTTTTCTGTCCTATGCTGATTTATAAGAAGAATGTGCTCAGAGAAGCAAATAGGTAACAGGTAGCTAAAAAAGAAAGAACTTTAAAATGCCAATTTAATTAAAACAGCATAAAATAAACACCATACAAATCTCAAAAGCATCTGAGCACACCACTGTATTTACAACCTAAAATCCGGGATATTGCTCATGATGACCTTGAGTCAAGTAAAAGTTAGATTACAGCGGCCTTAAAAGACAGGGCAGTGTGGAATTATCAAGACTCCTCTGACAGCTACAGTTAGCAATTCTGGCCTTCTGAGAAGACACTAGATACACAATGTATTACTATATGTTAATGCTCTGGCCTGTCTTCCTTAGGATCTCCTCCAGGCTCTTCCACCAGAATGAAAAATCTGCAGGCCGGTGAGTGGTCTTTACCTGGCTCCGTCCTCTGGGGTTTGAAACTGGAATAGGACACGGTCTAGTCCATGGAGGGGTCTGGCCCTAGAAAGGACACATTCAGATGATGTATGGATGGGGACCTGAGGAACAGGACTCCCAAATCTCCAGTCTCCTTCCTTTTCTTTCTCTAGTGTGTGGACGACGTGTATACTCAAGCCGCATTATGGGGGGCCAGGATGCCGCTGTGGGGAGATGGCCTTGGCAGGTCAGCCTACGCGTTAACCAGATACATATCTGCGGAGGTTCCCTCATCAGTGAGAGATGGGTACTAACAGCAGCACACTGCATCCAACGGTGAGTTCTAGCTGGTGGCCAGCCCGTGGCTGGTTTTCAACAAGTATTTGAACAATTTCAGACATGAATCCATAGACCAGTGGTGGCAAAACTATGGCATGCATGCTGTAGCAGACTGTTCATATCATGAAAGCTCTAAAATCTTTACCATGTTGGGTGTGGCGGTGCACATGTGGAAACCCAGCGCTTGAGAGGCTGAAGGAGGACTGCTGTGACTTTGAGGCCAGCCTGTGCTACACAGCAAGACTTTATGTCACAAAACAAAAATAATCAAACACAAAAAAAGAAAAAGCTTCACCATCACTGCCATAAGTGACTGAACATAGTCAGATGGGTCACTTTAAACTCCAAAACTAGGAGTTACTAGGCACAGGACATGGAATTTTCTTATTTTCTGCCATATCACTTCAGAAACACCAATCAGGATTTTTGTTTGTTTTTTGCTGCCAGGGATCAAACTCATACCTCACACTTGCCAGGCAGGCGCATAAGCCACTGAGCTAAATCCCTGGCCAATCAGGGGATTTTGTCTTAAACTTTTTTTTTTTTTAGGTCACAGAAGAGAAATTCCTAAGAAAATCAGAAATGATAAGGGAAAGTGCCACCAAGCACAATGGCACACACCTATAATCCCAACACTTAAGAGGTGGAGGCAGAACCAGACTAATCTACACAGCAAGAGCCTATCTCAAAAGAAAGGAAACTGGAATGTGTGGGCAGAGGGCTCAAAAAAAGATATTCTGAATAGAATGCTTGACAGAGTCTGGGAAGATGGCAGAACAGTAAGCAGCAGAGTAAACAGCCTCTCTGGGAAAAACAGTCCAGATGCTAGAATATAGCATTCTGGAGAAGACAAGAAGGAAAGAAGTGGGTCTCCTCAACCAGAAAGAAACTAAACTGAGAACTGAAGTCCACTGAGAGAATTTTAAAAGAAAGAAAGAAAACTTAAACAGAAGAAGGCAGTAGCTGGTGGCACTTTCACCAGAGCCAGAACCACCATACCAGAAGGGTTGTTGGAACCCAGAGATGCATGGGCACAATGAAGCTGGTGGCTAGCAAGCCCAAAGGTCTTGGTGGGAAGACATGGTGGCAGAGCGGAGCAGCAGATCAGAGAATTGCATTGGCTGGCAGTGAGTGTATGGGACTCAGTTCTCCCATGGGAGCGGGAGATTGGCCGGGTGCCATTTTGGAGTTGGGCAGGATAAGCCTGGAGCCAAAACTGCAGCGGCCTTCATTCAGCCACTCCTAGCTCAGAGCAGACTGGTGGGAATTGCTTGGACAGAGTCCTGCCCCTCTGCGCAGTCCAATAGCCACTGCCAAGGTTTCCCTAAAGCAATCCCTAACCAACCCCACCTACCCGGTTGCACACTGAAGTGGTGAAGACTCCCTGTGGTTAACCAGCTCCGAAGGGAGGGGCCAGCCTGACCTGCTTACACTCCAGTAGCTACTAGCAGACTGGGGAAAGCAACAAACAGCAGAAATATCTAGCCACATACTTCAGAATAATTATTACCAATACAGGAAATGCCAGGGACCCTGTTACCCACTTGTCCAGAAGAAACCAGGAACACGACAAGAGGAAGAAGCAAAAGGCAATCTCTGGCCTCCAAGCCAAGCAGTACTGGTCCAGGAGATGTAAACACAGAAGAGATTGGGAGTTGCACACCTGCAGTTTTTGAAGCAACAGCAACTGAAATACAGAGACAACTCCATGAAGCTATAAAAAAGAACTTAGAACAGACATACCATTACAGGTAAAAGAAGATATGAGAAACATAATGAATTGCTAAGCACTTCTAAAGAAGACACAGATGAAATAGAGCATAGAAAAAAGAGGGGAACCTTCAAGAATATAAAAAAAAAAAACTTAAGAGAACATGAAACAAATTCAAAGAGATTAACAGGAAATTAAAAAGTCCATCGAAAGCTGGCAAAACTGCTGAAAGAAACTAAAGATAGACTAGCAAACCTTGAAGACAGGTTTGCAGCTTTCAATTGCGAAAGGGAAGATCTCTTAAAAATAACAAGGAATTAGGAAGTAACAATACAAAGGCTACAAGATGACAAGAGGTTCTATAACTTAAGAATAAAAAACATGAGTAAGAAGCAGGGGTAAATACAAATGAAATACAAAGGCTATTTACAGAAATAATTAAAGAGAATTTTCCAAGCATAGGAAAAGGAAATGATATTCAGATATATGAGGCATACAGAACTCCAGCCAGCTATTACCAAAACAGATCTATATCCAGACATATAATAATCAAGATCCCAGAAATTCAACACAAGAGCAGAATATTAAAAGCTGTCAGAGAAAAAGAAACAGATCACCTATAAAAGAAAACCCATCAGAATCACAGCAGACTTCTCAACACAAACCATCAAATCAAGAAGAGCTTGGAGTGAAGTATTCCAAGTCCTGAAAGAAAATAACCTCCAACCCAGATTGATGTATCCTGAAAAACTATCACTCAAAATCAATGGAGAAACAATATGCTTCCATGACAGAGAGAAACTGGGGGAATTCATGATCACCAAACCAACCTTACAAAAAATAATGAAGGACATTCTAAGCAAGAGAAAAAAAGGCCATGGTTTCAGGAACAGTGGCACAGTGGCTCACTGAATGGGGCAGACAGTGGAATGAAGGGGAAAAGTAGACAACCAAGAGCAGAAAAATAACATGGCAGAGAACTGGCTATAATCACTAATATGGATGGCCTTAAATCACCAATAAAAAGAAACATAGGCAGAGTGGATCAGGAGATAGGGTATATCACTATGCTTGTTATGGTTTGAGACTGGTGGTCAATTTAACACCAGCTGGATTACATCAGCATGCATTGAGAGAAGATGCTCCACCTGAGGAGGGTTGCCAGGATAAATTAGGTGGAGAAGAAGGGAGGTGTTGGAAGGAATTGAGGTATTAAGGAGGCACTGTGGGTTCTCCTATGAGTTGCTGTCTGAGCTGTTGGTTCTCCTGGAGAAGCTCTGGTCTTCACATCGAGCATTGCTTCCTGGCTCCAGAGGGGAAGACATGTGCTGCCTGGTCTCCAGGATGAACTCGTCCCGCTGCTTCCTGGCACATACCTAACTGTGCTTATCAGAGGAGGAGCTTGGGCCTCCGTGTCACCGAGGACAGCTGTGGTGCCTTTCAGGACAGCCCTGCTCTTTGTTGTGTGACTTCTCGGCTCCAGTGTAGAACCCTCATCCCACTAGCACAGCTCCTTCATCCTGCTGGTATAGACTTTCTGGCTTCTACTGCTGATCCTTGGGTCTTCCCGGCACGAATCCGTAAAAGAGACTGGCGTGAGTCCTTCTTGTGGGCTCTGGACTTCCAGTTGGACTTGTGGAGGCATTGTCCTGAGCTCTGGGTTTTTATCTGGATTCATGTGGGACATTGCTGTGGGGTTTAGACTCTTGACTAAATAATGTATGTCTTTGGTGTTGCGGATAGATTTCCTGCATTCTCCTGTGTTAACGCCCGGTGACCATTATAAAAATATTATAAACTCCATGTCCTGATCTGAATTGTTCTCTGTGTACAACTCCTGACTACAACAATGCTCTATATAAGAAATACAATTAACCTGAAAGAGGGTTCATAGGCTGAAAGTCAAAAATGAGAGAACAATGCTCTGTGTGACAGGGAACCAGATAAAAGTAGGGATAGCTTGCCCTACTGCACAGATCTAGGCATCTGAACAGATGCAGATTGCCTAGAAAGCCATAACACTTTTATACAATGGAAAACTATTCAGCTAAAAAAAAGAAAGAAAGAAAGAAAGAAAGAAAGAAAACCTTGAGGCTCTTGTAGATAAACGGATACAACTTGAGATCATGCTCACGGGTAAAGGTTCAGAATCTCTTAGATAAGTAGCAAGCTGCCTCCCTAATCTAAAAACTAAAGAAGTTAGTAGGATGCAAAACGTACAATGCACCCTGAGAAAGTGAAAGGGGAAGAATTGTCTAAAAAGGGAAGGCAGTGGTCATTGTTAATCTTTTATCATGATTTGATAACCATATTGTTTTCATCATTCTGTTTATTTTTATTCTATTCCAGTTTGTCTACTCCTATTAGATTTGATGGCATGGACAGCTATTCCAAAGATAGCAGGATATACTATGGAATCATTTTTGATTTCCTATTAACTTGATTTAAGCCCAGTATTGCTTTCACTGTCTTGTTTTGACTGATTTTATTCTATTCTGTTTTGTTTGATAGTCTGAGGGTATAGGCAACTACTTCGAAGACAATAAAATTCACTATGATACCCATTTCGATTTGACTATTATCTTCTTTTGAAGTCCTGTAATGTCTCCAATGTTACATTTTTATTGGTTTTGTTCTGTACTGTTTTGTCCAATTTTATTATACTTGATGATATGGGCAATTCTTTTGAAGATAGCAAGAGGCATTATGATAACCACTGTTGATCACCTTGTATTTTGTTATTATGTCATGTACTATGTCCATCCTTTTGTTTTGACTATTTTGTTTTGTCACATTTGGTTTCTCTTCAAAATAAAAAAAGAAAAATACAATGTTTGACAGGTTTGCACATACTGAGAAGAGATTTATACTTCTGATGGACTTTTGGGGAAAAAATGGTAACAGTGATAGTATAAAGAAAACAAAAGTGGGACCACATGGCTAAATCCAGGAAGAGAAAAAAATCTTACAAGCAATGCATTCATACATCCCGATCTGAACAGTGGTGAACAATGCTGGTATAACCATAGGATCACATATAATAACCTTCATACTGAGCAATATTCCCAGTCCCCTTCTAATTTTGAGATAGGATCTCACTAAACCACTGAGTTGCCCAGAATGGATTCAAATCTGTGTTCCTCCTATCTCAGATTCCCTAACAGGGACAGTCAACTATGCCAGGTTTAACTTAAAAGTTTTGATAATATTGGTTTAAAAGATGAATGGAAAGAAAATAGGGGTAGTGCACCGTAATATATAAGAAAGCTCAATGTGAAAAGAAAACCTACCTATTTGGAAAGGATTTTTGGCGACTATCCTCAGACAAAGGACTTTTATCTAGAATGTATAAAGAACTGAAAAAAATCTGCCCCCTCAATGTAAAGACCCAATCAAAAATGGGCACCTGAGATGAGTACACAACTCTCAAAGAAATACAAATGGCAAATAAATATATGAAAAATGCTCAACATCACTGGTCATTCGAGATAGCAAATTAAAACAACACTGAGATTCCATCTCGCTCCAGAAAGAATGGCTAACACCAAGAAATCAACCAGTAACAAATGTTGGTCGGGTTGTGCAGACAAAAGAATCCTTCTCTGTTGTTGGTGGGAGTGTAGACTGGTATAAACACTGTGGAAATCAGTGTGCATATTCTTCAAATTAGGATTAGACATTCCATTCAATCCAGCTATTATTTCCCTTTTAGGTATCTGCCCAGAAGAACTGAAACCATCATACCACCATGATATATGTGTATCCATGTTTATAGCTGCAGAATTTGTAATTGCCAGATCTTGGAAACAACCCAAATGCTCATCAATTGAGGAATGGTTTTTTTTAAATGTGGTATTTTTATGCAATGGAATACTACTCAGCCACAAAGAATGATAAACTTGAGGCTTTTATAGGAAAATGATGCAACCAGAAACTATATTTATAAATGAAATAAATCAGATTTGCATGTGTAAACATCTATTGTCTCCCCAGTGTAAGAAACTAAAGAGTAAATAAGACCTAAAAGTTACAACAGATATAGTAAAAGGTAAAGAAACTGCTCAAAGGGAAATTATATTGTTTGATCAATTTTGCATGCCTGTATGTGGTAAGCTGAACAACTTATTTTGAAGATAACAATATGCAACATAATAACAACTGTTAAATTCCTATCATCTTGGTTTGAAATTCTACATTGCTATTGGTTTTGTTGTTGTTGTTGTTGTTATGCTTTTGTTGTTTTGTTTGCTTTTTTTCTTTTTCTGTTCTCTTTAAAATTAAAAAAAGCAAGCAAGCAGGCAAGCAAGCAAGCAAGCAAGCAAGCTAGTTAGCTAGCTCCATCCTCGGTGTTCACCTGTTATCCCAGTGTGTTAAGAGTCTGAAGCAAGAGGAATGTAAGATCAAGGCCAGCCTAGGAACCTAGGAAGGCTGTCTCAAAATAAGCTTTAAAAAAGCACAAGGGACACAGCTACGTAGTAAAGTCCTTATTGGTTCAATTCATAGTATCAAAGGAGGAGGAAGCGGAGGAGGAAGAAGAAAAGGAAGGCAGGGAGTAGGAGGAAGAGGAAGCTCAATCCTCACCTTTTATGTCAGGAATTGAATATTCTAAAGTTGGGGGGTCAAGAAATAGCAGTATACAAGATTTCTTGAAAATACTTGGGGAGAGCCAGAGATTTAGCTCAGTGGCATGAGCACTTGCCTGGCAAGTGCAAGGATGTGAGTTCAATCCCTGGTACCAAAAAAAAAAAAAAAAACAAAAAAGAAAATACTTGGGAAAATTAAAAGAGATGAGTTTAAAAGAGATGAAAATGATTGCCTTGAATAGTGAAAATTAAGATCCTGGAACAGCAAGCTTCTGTTTTTATTTCTTTATTTTGTGTGATTTATCAAAATACCTAAAAATTTAAATTTGTATATGTATAACCTGCATTATGCTTTGCTTAAATGTTTATTTAGAAATAAAGGCTTAGTGTTCAGAACAGAAATCAAACCTGGCGATAAACATCAATGATATTAAACATACAGTGGTAGTGAAACCACAGGGAACAGGAAAGGTATGCAAGAGAGAAAATGCAGGATATAAACATAAAAGATGAGAGCATGGAAGTATTCAAAGGCTAGGAGGGAAGAGAAAAAGGGACAAATCAACCCCAGTCTAAGATTAACCTAACCCTGGTTAAATTACTATGTGCTGCCCTCCTTTTTTCACTGAGTGTTACTTACTGGCACCTTGTTCTGAGCCACCTATAGGCCATAAGCTCCCTTTCTTTTATGATATCCTCTTTTTCCCCTTAGGTCAATGATATTTGCATATACTGTATGGATGGGATCTATTAAAGCAGGATACTCAAGTCATGTCACAGAGTACCTAATATCCAAAATCATCATCCATCCGAAACACGAGGATAAAAACGCAGACATTGCTTTGCTAAAACTGTTCTCCCAAGTCACCTTCACTTCTCTCATCCTGCCCATCTGCTTGCCCAGTATCACAAAGCAGCTAAAAATTCCAGCTTCTTGTTGGGTGACTGGATGGGGACAAGTTTCAACAGATACAGGTGAGAATTGGCAAAAAGAAGGGTTGGTTTACCAGTGATAACAAACCTTTTAGAGCTTTCAGTGGTAACACACTGCCCACTTTGGCATGCATGCTACAGGTTCACCACCATGGTTTTATGTTACCCTTTTGTACCTATTCCAGAACATTCACATTCTAGGCATATCCTCACTACAGCAAATATTTTTCAACAAAACCAGGCCAAACTAAAGATATTATGTGTATGTAAGTCTTCAAAAATGTGGGTTTTTTTGACATTTACATATTTATCCCATTTATTATTATATCCTGCTGAAAATCTGCTACCTGGAAGAGCAGACACTAACAATTTAAATACATAATCACCTCTCTCAAAAAGAGGCTCATCATTAGCCAAAGCAATCAGGCAAGGGGAAGAAATAAAAGAGATACATATAGGAAAGGAAGAAGTCACATTACCACTATGTGGCTGATATGATTCTTTATAAAGAAGACTCAAAAAATTCCATTAAAAGACTCCTAGAATAAATAAGAAAATTCAACAATGTAGTAGAAAATAAAATCACACCAAAATAAGTACTATTTCTAAACCCACTGAGAAAGAAATTAGAAAAATAATACCATTCACAATAGTAGAAAGGAAAATTAAATACTTAAGGAATTAACCAAGGGGGCCAGAGATTTAGTTCAGTGGTATAAGTAGCTGCCTGGCAAGCGCGAGGTTGTAACAAGTTCAATCCCTGGTACCCCCCACCCCAAATTTAACCAAGGAAGTGAAAGACTTAAATAAAAAAGGAAATCGAAAAGGACAGCAGAAAAACAGAGAGGCATCTCATTTGTAGATAGGCAGAACCAACACTGTCTAAAGGACAATACTCCCCAAACTGATTTTAATGGAATCTCAATCAAAATATCAACAAAATTCCTTACACAACAACCCTAAAATTCAGATGGAAAAAGAAGAGGCTCAGAATAGAAAAAATAATCTTACACAACATGAGCAAAGTTATACTACAAAGTATAGTGATACTCATAGCACAGCACTGCACAAAAAGACATGAGGACCCATGGAATACAACAGAGAATACGAAAACAACCCCAGGCATATTTAATCACCTAATCTTTGACAAAGGGGCCAAAAAACATATACTGGATTCAAGGCAGCTTCTTTAGCAAATGGAGCTGGGAAAACTGGGAATTCAACATGCAGAAGACTGAAGCTAGACTCATTATCTTTCACCATGCACTAAACTAAAATCAAAATGGTTCAAAGATCTAAATAGTGAACAGAAACAACCTGCTGGAAGATAAGGTAGGTAAAACTAAGTCACAAGGACATTCTGAACAGAACTCTAATTACACTAGAAATAGTATCAAAAGTCAACAAATGGAATCTTACCAAATTAAAAAGTTTCTACCAGGCGCAGTGGCACACGCCTGTAATCCCGACACTTAGGAGGCTGAGGCAAGAGTATCATTGCAAATTTGAGACCTGTCTGGGCTACAAAGTGAGCCCAAGGCCAGCCTGAACTGAATAGTGAGAACCTGTCTCAAAAAGACAAAAACAAATAAATAGCTTCTGCACACAAAGGAAATACAGTGAAGACACAACCTACAAAATGGGAGAAAAACAAAAACAAAATAAAATTTACCAGCCATACTTCATACAGGGTTAATATCTAGAATATACAAAGAACTCAAAAACCTAGACCTATAAAATAAAACAATACCAAAATAAAAGACCCAATAGGCAAGTGAAGTACATAGAAACTTTTCAGAAGTACACATGGCCAATAAATACATAAGTATCACTAGCCATTAGAGAAATGCAAATTAAGACAACACTAAGATTCCATTTTACCCCAAAAAAGAATGGTCATGATCAAGAAATCAAATAATAATAAATACTGGTGAGGCAGTGGGGAGATGGGAGAATTGTTGGTGAGCATGTAACAACCACAATGGAAATCAGTATGGAGATTCCTTAAAAACAAAATACAAATTCCATTTGATCCAGCTATTCCCCTTCTAGGTATCTTCCTGTAAAAGGTAAAAGTATCTTCCTGAAAAAGGTAAAAGTATCACTGTATAGTGAGAGTCATGCATACATAGTCATGTTTATAGCAGCAACTCACAAAGCTACATCTTGGAAGCAGCCTCTATGTGGCATCAAAAGTGAATGGCTAAAGAAAGTGACATTTACACATGGGACACACTGTGACATAAAGACAAACCTGACACATTTGTAGAAAAATGGATGCACTTTGAATCCACAATGTTAAGTAAAATAATCACACATGTAAGCTTAAAAATTGCATGGTTTCTCTTATATGAGAAACCCAAAGAAAGAAAGAAAAGGACAACAGAAAATACTACAAAGAGACAGATCTTTAGCAAATGGAAAGGGGACTAAGAGATGGAGGAGGAGAGGGAAAAGGAATGTAAAAAGTAAGATGTGTTGTCTACAATCATTAACTACCTCAATGAATGTATTCATAATGTGCCACAAACATGGAGTAATGTTTTAAAATCACTAATAAAAAGAGGTTTGTTACTTTGACTTAAAAGTTTGGGGACAGTTCAGTATTATTAATGTTTTTTAAACTGTTACATAAATTTTTTCCCAAGATTAAATAAACACAGGAGCTGACCTGGGAGCAGGAAAGTTTTAGAATACACATCCTTAATCAGAAGTTATCAAAATTACTTTTTATTTAGGATACTGACAACAAGAGAAAATGCTCAAACAGAAAAGATTTTGAATTATCTGTTTCAGAATTAACTATGTCAAAAATTCCTTCTATGAGAAAATATGGCTGGGTGTGGTAGCTCATGTCTATAATCCCAGCACTTGGGAGGCTGAGGCAGCAGGATCTTTGGGTGTTCAAGACCAGCCTGGGCTACAAAGTGAGCCCAAAGCCAGCATGAACTGCATAGCAAGACCCTTTCTCAAAAAGACCAAAAAAAGAAAAAGATAAGAAAGAAAACAGGATGATTGGAAAGTCACTTATTTGCCCCAGTACTTCCCAGCTTGCTTTAACCTTTCATTTCCATTTTCTTCTACAGCCGGTACTTACGCGTCTACCCTCCAGGAAGTAGAAATACCCATTATTAACCGCCAGTACTGTGAATACCTCTTTAACCCAATTGGCATCTTCCTCCCAGAACTGGAGCCAGTCATTAAGGAAGATATGATTTGTGCTGGAGATATACAAAGCGGGAAGGATAGCTGCAAGGTGACTGTTGGCACTTGGCACTATATTTTAAGACATCTTAATTTTAATCCAAGTTTTCCTACCTGTAAATAACAGCAAACTGGAAGCCAGGAAATAAAGGATCTGACAGTAATTCTTATGTTACCCTGGACACTTAAAACATCAATCGCTTCCATTTCTAGACCAATATTAACCACTGATCATTAGATTTACAGTTATATACATTTTCATGAATATACTGACGCTGATACACAATTGCCAAATTTTAATTTTTGTATGCACATTTCAGTATATACTTTTAGTTTTTGTTTTTCTAATCAGATTTTATTGATACATTTTAGATATACATAATGATCACATGCATCATAGAAAATTTGTACCTGTACATAACTTTTTTCTTCCCATTTTACTGCCCTCCCTTCAGCTCCTCCTCCCTTCTCCCATTTACAAAAGCTTTGTTTCCACTTTTTTCCTTCTCTCATTTTGTTTTTACTTTTCCCTTCTTGCCTTTCTCTTCCTAGCTGCCCTCCCCATTTGAATATTTTTCTCCTATTTCACAGTGTCTATTATACACTTTGGTTCTTATTTATACTTTCGGTTTCTCACACAAGAGAAACAATGCAGTATTCATATGTGTGTCCAATTTATCCTAAAAAGGTATTAAGTTTATCCTCCTTTATGGCAGAGCAGTACTCCATTGTATAAAAAAAAAAAAAAAACCCCACATCTTCTTTAGCCAGTTACCAACTGATATGCATATGGGCTGTTTCCAATATCTGGCTATTTCAAACTGTGCTGCTATAAACATGAGTGTGCATATATTGCTGTGCCATGTATTGCTATGCTATGATGCTTCTGATTCTTTTGGGAAGATATCAAGAAGAAGAATAGCTAGGTTAAAAGGAATCTCTAGTTACTAGTTCTAGTATTTTGAGAAATCTCCACACTGATTTCCACAGTGGTTATACCAATCACACTTCAACCAATAGTGAAGAAGGGTTCCCTTTTCCCCACAGCCCCTCCAGCATTTGTTGGTGGTTGCTTGATGACAACCGTTCTTTCTGGGGTGAAATGGAGTCTCCACATTATTTTAATTTTCATGTCTTAAGTGACTAGTAATGTTGAACATTTTTCAGTGTATTTCTTCTACTGCTTCATAACAGAAGTGTATATTCATCTCCAATGCCCTCTTTTGGAATGGGTCTCTCAATCAGGGATGTCTGGTCTTTTTGAGTTCTTTATATATTCTAGATAGTAATTATTCCTTTATCTAAGGAACAGCTTGCAAAAGTTTTTTCCCACATTGTGAATTATTTCTTCACTCTGTGGATGGTTCCCATTGCTGTGCAAAAGCTTTTTAATAAGATGAGATCCCAGTTTGTTATTTGTCATAGTTCCCATGTGATTGGGGTTTTGTTCATAAATTCTTTGCCTACATCAATGTCTTTAAGAGTTTCCCTACTCTATCTTCTAGCAGATATAGTATGTATTTGAATATTTAGATACTTAATCTATTTCTATTTTAGTTTAGTGCATAGTGAAAGATATGGGTGTCATTTTATTTATTTTTTTTTTGTCTTTTTCCTTTTTATTGGTACTGGGGATCGAACTCATGACTGCCTGCTTGCAAGGCAGGCACTTATGCCGCTGAGCTAAAACCCCAGCCCCATGGGTGTCATTTTAATCTTCAGCATGTAAAAAGTTAGTTTTCCCAGCACCCTTTATTAAAGTGGCAGTATATACTTATAAATATGTCATTCTGTTGTCTTTTGGTCATAACTGATGAAATGTCAGGAACTGGGGGTACAGCTCCATGTTAGAACTCTTGCTTAGCATCTACAAAGCCCTTGGTTCCATCCCCCGCACCACAAAATGAATGAATGAATGAATGAAAGAAGTAGGAAAGTTCCTAGGAACAAAAGAATGTACTTTTTTCTCAAGAGCATATGGAATAGTCTTCAGAACAGAACATATGCTAAACTGTAAAATAAGCCTTCATAAAATATTTTCCAACTACTGTGGAATAAAATTAAAAAGAAATAACAAAGAACTAAGGAAAGATAAGATATGGAAATTAACATGATCTCAAATATCTAATAGGTCAAAAAAGAAATCACAGCCAGATATAATGGTACATGCCTATATTCCCAGTTTTTCTTTCTTTCTTTTTTTTTTTTTTTTTTTTTTTCCTTTTAGCAGAGTGAGAAGCAGAGGAGACAGGGTCTTGCTATCTAGTTCAGGCTGACCAGGACTTACTGTGTTGACCAGGTTGCCTCAAACTCTCAATAATCCTCTTGCCTCACCCTCCTGAGTGCTGGGATTACAGGGATCACCACACCCAGCAATCCCAACATGGCAAGAGAATCACAAAGTCGAGTAATAAATACACGAGTACCAAATCTTATGGATGCATCTAAAGTATTGTTCAGAATGAAATATATAGCAGTAAACAGCCATATTAAAAAAATCTCAGGGGCTGGGGGTTTAGCTCAGCGGCATAAGCACCTGCCTTGCAAGCAGGCGGTCATGAGTTCGATCCCCGGTACCAATAAAAATGAAAAAGACAAAAAAAAAAATCTCAAATAGGGGCTGGGGATTTAGCTCAGCGGCATAAGCACCTGCCTTATAAAGCAGGCAGTCGTGAGTTTGATCCCTGGTACCGATAAAAAGGAAAAAGACAAAAAAAATCTCAAATAAATAACCTAATATTTGACATTAAGACACTATGCAAAGGGACTAGAGATGTACCTAAGTGATAAGAGTACTTGTCCAGAAAGAATAAACAGATGCAGATGTCTGTATTCATAGTACCAAGGAAGAAAGATGCAAGAGGATTACAAATTTGAGTCTTGTCTCAACAATTTAGCAAGACCCTGTCTCTAATTTTAAAGATAAATTTTAAAAACTGGAGTTATAGCTCAGTGATCGAATACCCTTGTATTTGACCCTCAGTACTAAAAAGACAGAAAAAGAAACAATGAAACAGAGAAAGACACAGCAAGAGAGAGATAAAGGTAGATGAAATATTATTATAAACAAGTATACGCCAATAAATTAGATAACTAAAAGATAGAGGCAAATTCCTAGAAACATACAAACTATTGGGGCTAACCCAAGAAAAACATACAATCCAAATAGAAACAAAACAAGAGATTGCATTAGTACTATTTACAATAGTACAAAAAATACTTAGGAGGGGCAAAGGGTGTAGCTCAGTTGGAGAATGCATGCTTACCATGAACAGGATCCTGTGTTCAATCCTCAGCACCAAATAAAATAAAATACGTAATAATAAATTTCACAAAAGAAGTAGAAAACTTGTACTCTGAAAACTATAAAACATTTTTAAAATTAAAGAAGAGACAACTAAATGAAAAGACATTCTAAGTTCTTTAATCAGAAGACCTCATTTAAATGAATTTTCTAAGAGGATTTGTAGTTTAACACAATCTCTCCCAAAATGTCAGCTGGCTTCTTTGCAGATGCTGAGAAGCTAAGAATAAAATATAGAAATTCAAGGGACCCAAAACAATCTTAAAGATGTTGAATGTCTCACACTTACTGATTTTCAAAACTTATTACAAAGCAATAGTAATCAACACACTGTAGTACTGGTGTAAGGCTAGACACATACAGATGAATAGAAAAGAACTGAGTCCAAAAACAAACTTTTATAGTTAATTAATTTTAGATACCAGTATCAAAATAATTTATGAGCAAATAGTCATTTCAACAAATAATGCTAGATAGCCATATGCAAAAGAATAAACTTGGACACCTACCATACACAAGGATTAACTCACAATGAACCTGACTTAAATATAAGAACTAAAATCGTAACACTATTGGAAGAAAGTACAAGTAAATCCTTGTGACTCTGATTTGGCAGTTTTTCCTTAAATATAATACTAAAAGTATAAGCCAGAGTTTTATAAAATTCAAAGCTTTTGTGTCCCAGTGGACAGCATGAAGTAAAAAGTTAACCTATGAAATAGAAGAAAATATTTCTTTGCAAATCATACTTACATGAAATCTCTATCTACAACATATGAAGAATACTTGTATCTCCACAATAAAAAGACAACACAATTTTTTTTCAATGGCAGGGAATCAAAAAGCACATGAAAAAAATTCTATCAGTAGCCACCAGGGAAATGTAAATCTAACCCACAATGAGATACTTCATACTCAGATGGCAGTGATCAAGGCAGAATTGGCAAAGATGCAGAAAAGCTGGCACTTTCATAGACTGTTTGTAGGTAGAACATTGCAGCTTCTTTGGAGAACTGGCACTTCCTCCAAAGGTGAGTTAACCATATCAGGAATACCATTCCTAGATAATTCCTTAACTTAGTTACTCTTGTTGCTGAGACAAAATACCCAACCCCTGAAGTTACAAAGGGAAAGGTTTATTTAGTTTATTCAGTCCAAAGGGGCTGGCTCCAAGGTAGAATGGCACATGGCAGGGGACAAATGGTTCATGAAGACAAAGAAGGCAAAAACAAGGGGGTTTCACAGTGTCTTTCTGCCCCTATATCTTATTGGGGAGGTGCCAAACCAATCAGTGGACTCATCCAGCAATCACTTGCCCTTAATCCCAGCATTATACACTCTAGATTCTGCCACCGCTGAAAAAGCTCTATGACCATATAAGGCTTTAGGAGGACATCTAGACACAAATATTAACAATACCTAAGAGAAATTAAAACAGCCCACATACAAATCTATGCATGAATGTTCACAGCAGCCTGATTTCTTAATAGTTTCAAAGTGGAAAACCCCAAAATGCCCACCAGCTAACGCATGGGCTAACAAACAATTGTAGTATATCGATGTAATTACTCAACCATAAAATAAAATAGGGTACTGATGTATGTTGTCACACAGGGATGAACCTTGAAAAAATATGCTAAATTAAAGAAGGCAGTTCTAAAGACCACATATTGTATGAATCTATTTATATGAAATAGCCACCAACGAAGAAATTCATAGAAACAAGAAATAGATTACCAGTCCATCTAGGGCTAGGAGAGTTGGAAAGAAACAGGGCTGATAACTAATGAGAATAGGTTTTAATTTTTATAAGTGAGGAAAATGTTCTAACATGGGTTGTGGGGGCATGGTGATACAAAACTATAATCCCAGTACTTAGGAGGCTGAGGCAGGAGGAGACCAGCCTAAACTACATAGCAAGACCCTGTCTTCAAAAAAGAAAAAGAAAGAAAAGAAAAGAAAGAGAAGGAGGTAAGAATAAAGGCATAATAATGGTCGCATGACCTTGTAAATACACTAAAAACTGGGGCTGGGGATTTAGCTCAGTGGAATGAGTGCCTGCCTGGCAAGTGCATGGTCGTAAGTTCGATCCCCAGTACCAAATAAATAAAGTTTAAAAAAATGCCACACAAGCACTTGTATGCAAGTTCCACTAAAAGTGAGCTCCTCCTGTCAGCCTACCAGCATATGATCTGAGAATCAATTCCCAACACATATCGTAAGCATTTCTTGGGAGGATGATAGTATGCAATACAGCAAATATGGGGGATTTCCTTCTATCTTATCTTTGAAACCCAGTATTATTTTCACTGTTTTGCTTTATTCAGTATTCTCTTTTGATTGGTTTTATTGTTTTCTTTTTGGTTTGATTCTGCTATACTTGATAGAATGGACAACTATTGTGAAGATAACAAAATATACTATGGTAGTTATTGTTTTCCTAGTATCCTGCTTTGAAGTTCTGTACCAAGTTTGCTGCTTTGTTTTGATTAGCTTTGTTCTGTTGGATTTCACTACCTTTAAAATAAATACCTGCGCACTTCAGATTCGTCAATTGCATGGTATTTGAATTATAGTTAAAACCTGTTACAAAAGAAGCAAGATTAAGAAATATACTAACTACTATTACTCATTTCATGTAAGAAATAATTTTAACAGAAGAAAAAAGCCAAAACTGAAGAACTGAAAGATAAAAGCAGTTCATTCAACTGGACAAATTTAACTTTGTGAAAGATAAATGTGTTGAGTGAAAAGTTATCACATTAATGTTACCTGCTTTATCACATATTACATGAATATTCTGAAATTAGCAGTGTGTTCTGCTAAGGTCCTCACCAATTTAAAATTCTCCGCTCCTAGAACCCCAGCAGCAGACTCCAGCTCAGCAGTGTTGAGTCTCATGGCTCAGTTCTAAACTCCATCCCTTGTGACTATTCTCTCCTCATGTTCTTTTCCAGTATACTCATGACCTTTATCTCTGCTTCAGGGTGACTCCGGGGGACCTCTGTCATGTCTCATTGATAATGTATGGATCGTGATAGGAGTGGTAAGCTGGGGAACAGAGTGTGGTAAACTTCCCGGGGTCTACGCCAATGTGACCTACTATCAGGAATGGATTGATGCCACTATCTCAAGAGCGGAAGTCTTAAAGGCCACCAATCTGGACTTCTCTGACCTCCTGTTGTATATACTACTACTTTCTCTGGCTCTCCTGGGACCCTGTGGTGCCCCTGGGCTTGACACAGTGTGGGGAGAGTGAGCAGCACAGTTGAAGCTGCAGACTATAGAACTGGGATGGGAATGCAAGGACACTGAATCCCTGCGGTAGAGAACTCACAGAAGAGTAATGGAAACCCTGGGTGGCTTTACTTAAAGAGTCTGAAATGATCTTGCTTCTGAAGTTATGGATTCTGTAAGTGAATTTTAGTAAAAGGAATGTGAACAACTAAGAAATAAAGCTGTCATCTCTATGTCCGTGACCAAGTCATCTAGGGCAGAAAGGATGACCTCTATGACGTAAGAGCTACTGGAGAAGCAGGCAAGGTAAAGTACCTGGGATAGCAAAAGCGAAGGTCCTCAAGAATTACGAACTATGTTAAGGTATATGGTACCTACAGGCAGCATCATAGGCTTCTTATCTGTCTATAATTCTCACCTCCTCTACTATCTTGTGTTTCCCTTCTAATCCCCTGCTAGCCCTCCAGATACAACGAAGGGTAAAACGTACTTATGTAGTTCAACTCTGTATTTACTGTCAAATTTTTGTTTTAAAACACCAGCATGAAGCCGGACGTTGTGGTACACACTTGAAATCCTAGCACTCAGGAGGCTGAGGCAGGATTCCTATAAATTCGAGGTCAAACTGAACTACACAGTGAGACCCTATTTCAGAAAAAAAACCCAACCAACCAAAAAAATCCAAAACTGAGTCAAAAACCTCAATGCGACCTAATACTACAAGTAAATTAATGCTATGATTTCAAGAACTGAGTCTTGGGTTTCAATAAATTGGGCCTGTCCAGGCTATTTTATGTCCACTCCTATAGTAAAGAAAAGATGATAAATTATTCTTCCTATTTCTAAACAATCACATGACCTATCTTATTCCTTTTGCGTCTAGGCCTCCAGGAGCTTAGAGCTAGGTTTTGTACTTCATTGCAGTCATTATCTATATCCTTGATTTCCCAGTATAATTCCACTTATACGCCTAAAAGTCATCCTTTATTTCTCCTATGACTTATTTATTGCAGCTATGTCTATTATGATAAGTCAACTTCCAAAATTTTTCTGGATAAATAAATGCATTCAGTCAGGCGTAGTGATACATTCCTGTAATCCCAGCATGTAGGAGGGTGAGGTAAGAGGATCACCATGTGTTTGAGCATAATGAGACTGTCTTAAAAAAATAAAATGCAGTTAATAGGAGGGGTAGAGCCCCATAACCACAACTTGCATTTAGACTGTCACTACAGACTCCTAACTGGTATTTTCCAGTTCTCACACTTCAAGTCACATAGACATAATCAGGTCACATATTTTAATCTACTTAGTTAATCTCTGTCTTTGAACTGGTATAATCAGATCATTTACATTTAATGAAAATATATTAAGTTCCATGATTTTTAAAAAAAAAAATTTTTTTTTGAGACAGGGTCTCACAATGTAGTGCGGGATGGCCTTGAACTCTCTCACATAGCCCAAGTTGACCTCAAACTCATGGTTGATCCTCAGGCCTTAGCCTCTCAAGTGCTGGGATCATAGGCGTGCAATAGTATACCCAGTTTCTATTTGTTTCTTCTAGGATTTTTTGTTTCTTTCTCTTGTATTTCTATTTTTGTTAAATACCTTACATCTTATGCCTTTACAGCTACATCAACTCCATTTATTATCCACAGCATTCAGGCCACTATTTAAAAATAAAGGCACTTTTCATACCTTTCTCCTCTTCTCTCTCTACTTATAAAGTTATTCTGTTGTTTACAGATGCCATACAAAGCCCTATAAAATCTTACTGCGGGTTATCCCGGCCTCATCTGGCATCACTCTATTCTGCTCGCTATGCTTATGCTTCTTCAGATCCCCAAACCTCTCTTAGTATCAGACTTTGGCATTTTTGTCTCCTTTCCTCCAGGATCCTAGTTAATTTTTACCATGCTTTCCAATCTTAGTTCAGCTTTGACGTCCTCAAAGAAGTTGTCCCTGGCTCTCCTGATTAGAATACCCTGAAGTTTATCCAAACACAATGGAGTCCTCTTTTTTAATATTTGCTATGACTATAATTTAACATTCATTTATATAGTTGTCTAATGTATAGACATTAGACAAAATGTCTTACCAAAATGTTAGGTTCATAAGAGTAAGAATGTTTATTTTTATCCACCAGGATATCCTAGTCTCAATAAATATTTGAATGAATAATACCCAATTAATTTGTCTCCCCAAATGCAGTGTCAAAATCTAGGTATTTTGTTTAGTGACATATTGCCTTACACAAAGCAGGTTTTTAGATATTGATTAAATTTTATAAAACAAGTCAAAAAAGATATTAACTAAAAAGGATGAAGTAAGGAACAAATGTTCCAGTGCAGTTTTCTTCTATAGTCCTTTCTTGTAGTAAGGGAAAAAAAGGAGAAAATATTACACAAAGTGAATTTGTGTAAAAGATTACACAAAGATTTTTCAGAGGCAAGAAAACTCAAGCTAAGCATCTCCAGAATGAGACAGAGGCTCATGCAAAATGGCGGCTGAGACAGAACAGAAGAGAAAAAGACAGGGCATGAAAGGAAAACAAGAAAAGACAGTACCGTCAAGAAACACAGAGGAACAAACAGGAAGAGAAAACACAAAAGAGTCAGAATCACACAACAACGAGGATATAAGATCAAGAAAGCCAAAATCCTGCTTCCTATCACTCCTTTGTACGCTTTGCTCAAAATGGGAAGCAAGTGTTTCACACCACAGGATCTGGCAAATCACTTTTTAATGAACTAGGAATCAGAACTTTGAAACTGTAGAGGGGCCAGTCTCCAAAAGGAAAGAAAGGGGTATAAGAGAAAAGGACTATATGATCTTAACTGTTCTGGCTGCTACTGGTGGGATGGGGCAAGGATGCGGGCTTGATTTAACAAGCTGCCCAGACAGTGGTGGGTCAATTAACCTGCATCCCACCCAAAAATGCATTTCCTACTGGACAACACAACAGAGCCCTCCTCTGAGGAAGACAGCGTGGGTCATATGGTATTAACTGTCCACCACATAAAGGCAACATTACAGGCACCAACGGTACAGCTGTCCATATAACACACTAAATTGGACTTGAAAAACTTTACACTCCAGGAGGGAGTGACACAACACTAAACACAAAAGAAATGCAAACTACAATGCTTGGTAACACAGAGGTCTGATAGAAAAAAACAACTGGAGAGGTAGGAGAGAGCAACAGCTCATCAAGAAAGCTTCACTGAGGTGATATTTGACTTGAGTTTGAAGAAGAGAAACAAAACAGGACCTGGGAAAGTGTATTCCAGGTTGAAAAAAGAGCAAGTGCAAAGATTCTGGAATGGGGGCACGCTAGAGATGTGACTAAATGGGAGCTCAGTGTGGCGGGGACACCAAGAGCACAAGTGGAAAAGGGGGAAACTGAGAGTCCACAAGGAACAGAGGCCAGGTTCTGCAGAGCCTGGGAAGCCTCCACAGGCCTCTGACTTTTATTCTCTGTGAGGAAGGAAACCACTGGAGGAGCTGGGAGCAGGGTAATGACAGAGAATCCCTCAGCGCTGCTCCAAGGGGTCCATGGGAGGCCAAGAAGGGGTCAAGACAGGATAGAGAGCAGTCAGACAGCAGCAGAGTTCAAAAAGCAGCAGACAGAAAAAGATTCCGACTTTGAAGAACTGAGGTGAAGCTAAGCAAAACATAGCAGACCGCTATAGCCTGAACACCACAGGTATTTCCATATTTCCCCAGGTCTGTGTGCTGTTTCCTCTATTCCTCATCTGCTCTGTCTTCACAAAAAGGCCTCATTTACCAAAGTGACTGAGAAAAGCTCAAGTTTATCTTTCTTACCATCTATTTTATAGTCATCACTAAGGCACTGACCTTGTTTGTTTTTTCCCCTTTATCCAGAGCAATGTTCTCATTTCCACCTCAAGGCCTTCCTTTGCCTGTCCTCACCTGGAATTTCCTTCTTTTGTACACCTCAACTTACTTATTTCTGTGTACTGCTTGGAAAAGGAAACAGTGGATATCTGAAAAACACATTAAAAGCACCATAGGAAATGGTTTTAAAAGTAGGGCCTGGGGTGTAACTCAGTTGTAGGGCATTTGCCTGGCATGTGCAAGGCCCTGGATTCCATTCTCAGTAGTAGAAAAAAAAAAAAAGACAAAAACAAGAACAACAATGAAAAACCACAGAATGGGAAAACTGTATGCCATGTGAATTATATCTCATTAAACTATTGAAAAGTTTTATCACATCCAGGGAAGAGCACTGCTGCCCACATCCGCTGTACCCATGCAAGTGGTTTTGGGGTTCACACACTCTGTAGCAATAAAAAAATCAGAGGGCTAGGGATATAGCTCAGTGGCATAAGCACCTGTCTGGCAAGCGTGAGGTCCTGAGTTCAATTCCCATTACCAAAAAATAAAAATAAAAAATAGAGATGTAAAGTTTAAGGAAAGGAAGACATTTTACTAGACACTTTATTGGGAAGGGGGAAAGAGTAGCAGATAGCTATTCTGATGAAGAGTAGGAAGCTCTGAAAAGATGGAGGACCCAAGGGCCCTTTATTTCTCGCCCTTTTTATTGGTGTGGCAGAAAGACTCTCCCCTCCTGGAGTTTTACAACTTGATTGGCTATTTCAGGACCTAAAACTTTTTTTTTTAATCAGTACTAGGGATCAAACTCATGACCGCGGGCTTGCAAGGCAGGCACTTAATGCTGCTGAACTAAATCCCCAGCCCCCAAGACCTAAAACTCTTAATCAGGAGTTTTAGGCCCTAAAACCCTTAATTATGAGCCTTACTTGGCCTTCATTTGTTCTATCACAGGTCTTATCTCTAAAATTTATGGGGGCCTTGCAGAGTAAGCTAAGTTAGTACTAAGGGGCTAGTGCACTAATACAGTGGTCAGAGTGGGAATACGCACACACACGTGTGTGTGTGTGTGTGTATGTGTGTATACACACACTATATATGTACATAGATGGGTAGGTGCGTGTGCCTTTATTTACTAAATAAGAGCTCTCTTTTAAGTGGCTGCCCCTTAACTCCCTTCCATTTCAGTAAAGGTGGGTGAGGTGCGGTTACCTGGGTTGCCCTGTGTTCAGCCTGCCCCCTGCCCCTTTTGTCCTGTTAGC